GTTAAAGATGCTCATTATTCATAAGTAGGTTTCACTTAGTTCATTTTATTTGTGTTCAAGGAAGATCCTGTGGTTCAGTTGGTTAGTCAAGGTCCGCTGTGGTTGCCTTTGTCAACTTGATTCTTGTTTATTTCTGCTTCTTTCTTATTATGCATGATGTATAAATTCCATCAAAAATCCTTTGGTTCATTACATAAATTTTATGTATGTTTTTGCTTGAATTGACATTTTGATATTTAAACTCCATCATAAATCCTCTGGTTCGTTACATAAATTTTATGTATGTTTTTGCTTGAATTGACGTTTTGATATTTAATATACATTTAAACCAACGTTGGGTATCTGTCCATGCTTATATCCGAATTGGGGTAACCTACTTCGTTTACAGAAGTTGCTTCTTTGCCCCGTTTGCACCAGCCACCAAGTCTACTGGCATTCATTATACCATATTCCATATTAATATTCTGCAATTTAACAAAGCCTTCAATCTACTAGCCTCCTGTTTAGGCTTGGTTATATGGATCTTACTTTTTGAAAAATAAATGCATCTGTTGGGGTTTGAGATAATTTTTTTTTTCATGATGCTGCATATTGGGTCCTTTTTATCCCTGAACTGTTATTCTAGTGTATTGATGGCATTAGTTACACTTTGTCTGTCAGTTCAATCTAAATCTATTATGGTCACATAATATGCTGATTTACTATATATTTTAAATAAGAACTAGTTATCATGTGCACACATGCGTGAGAGAGTGTGTGTGTCATGCATCTCACTGTCAAGAGTGTTTTGGCTGTTTATATCTGTGGCTTGACAAGGGGAGCAGAACCCAATCTCCGTGGTGAAAAAGAATAATATTTTCCTTACCAATAATGAGAGAGAGAGAGAGAGAGAGAGAGTCATGTATCTCACTGTAGTGTTTGGCTGTTTATATCTGTGGCTTGACTAGGGGAGCAGAACCCATTCTCCGTTGTGAAAAAGAATAATATTTTCCTTACCAATAATTACCACCTATGGTGGGAGGCACCTGTTATCACTCTGGAATTATAGTTCCATGGTTTTGATTGGAAGCGTGTGGGATTTGTGGTCCTATTTTAGTGGCACTAATAACAGATATAAATTAGAATACAAGTCTCAACAATCTTACTGGCGAACCTCTCTCTATTATAGACTGGAAAGTTGTTTAACTATATCCCATAAGAAAAACAAGGACATCACATTTAAGCATTTAACTAAGCTTCATATACCTTTGTCATATTGAATAACTTCTACCTTGATCATATTACTATAAATTTTGGATATAATAGTGAATAAATAGCTTCTACTGTGATTATATTTCTATAAATTTTTGGTGTAACATTGAATAAATAGTTGATGTATGGGGAAAAAGTTTTGCAATCGAGGAAAATAATAGTTGATTTCCGAAGATTTGAACTCTAAATTTGCATTGACAGTTCCAGATAACATGTTAACTGGTAATCAGCAATATGTGCTGTTCTTCAATTAAAAAAAAAAATAGGAGGAGGGGGGGGATTATATCAAGCAATTATTATAGAAAAATAATTAATTTTCATTTATAGGCATTTTTATTCTAGATATGTCTAGAATTATATACATACACACACACACAATTTTTGGTTAATTTTTCGAGTTCATGGTCTCCTAACAGAAAGAGATGGCAGAGTAAGCGCCTCGTCCTTATACTACTTTCCCTGTGGTCTATCACTTAAAGGTATGCCTGCCTAAGGAATTGTGCTTCAAATTTGAATTCACAAGAACATGCATTTCCTGATTTACTTCTCACTTTGCACAGCACATGTTCAGACACTAGCATTGGGTTCTCTACTTCTGTTATATGCTTCCCTTCTCTTGTTGATCTATTAGCATAAAATTGTTGAACTTATTTTTCCTATTCAGAGTTATGTCATTAACATCACTTGAATTATTTCTTCTGGATGCTTATGGCAGATCATAAAGAATAAAGACCTTGAAGAACTAAAGGAACTTGGTTCTGGAACATTTGGGACTGTGTATCATGGAAAATGGAGAGGAACAGACGTTGCCAATAAAAAAGAGCTGCTTCACTTGTCGGTCATCCGAGCAATAGAGATTGTATGTGTTCCTTGCCTACTCAAATCTATTATTTCTTTGAAAAATAAAATTCTATGTATGATATTCAGCTTTGCTGCCATCCAAATTCCAGAAGTTTCCACTTGTATGACTCGTGTCTATTTTCCTTTAAAAATTTGGGCCTCAACCATGTTATGAATCATACTAAAGTGCACAACTGTCAAAAATTCAGCTTGTTTTAAACATTTGACCGAGTTACCCCTCTTCCAGAACATTTTTCTAAGTACTCCACTCCAACTGTACAAAACAAGAAGGCTAAAGTAATACTATATTTGAACTAGTTTTTAGGAAGTTTTTCTCGAATGGCCCCCGTTAAATTGTGGCCCAAAACTACCAAAAAAGTATTGTGCTAAGACTGCTAACAGTACATGACCATGTGGGTCATGACTGCAGCATGCCGTTGCCATGTATGTGAATGTGTAGCCATTAATTGCAAAACAGCCAGCCCATCGGAAGCAAATTTAAAGAATTTTATGATATCACTTACCCTTTGATGCTCCACCTACAAGCCGATAAATATATCTATTTTATTTTTAAAAAATTCTTGCCACATTAGATGTTAATATTTATCATTTTTAGACCAAAGAGTTCTGGCGGTAAGCTGAAATTCTCTCGAAGCTTCACCACCCAAATGTGGTGGCATTTTATGGTGTAGTGCAAGATGGACTAGGGGGGACATTAGCTACTGTGGCATAATACATGGTTGATGGTTCTCTAAGGCATGTTTTACTTTGCAAGGATAGGTGATTATCTACTTATGCTCTCAAGTTTGGTTATGCCATCATTTTGGTCATGTTCCTGACTGAAACTTTACCAATTATAAATCTTTAAAATTCGGTTGCTAGCTCATTTTCTTTCTCACGTAGAAGCACTTATCTTTCTCTCTTATTCACGTTCTTTCTCCTGATGTTAATTTTCAGGCATCTTGATCGTCGCAAGCGGCTCATAATAGCCATGGATGCAGCCTTTGGAATGGAGTATTTGCATTCAAAGAATATTGTGCATTTTGAGCTGAAATGTGATAACTTGCTAGTGAACTTGAAAGATCCTTCACGACCCATTTGCAAGGTTACCCTGATGGAATTTCATTTAATATTTTTCACTTCTAATGAATGTTGCTAATAAAGATGTTTATCTTGTACACATTATCAAGAAAATGGTAGTTTTAAAGTCAAAATAATGTCTGATATGATAGTATTACCCCTATTTTTCAGGTAGCTAATTTTGGCCTGCCAAAAATCAAGCGGAGCACCTTGGTTTCTGGTGGAGTTAGGGAAACTACCATGGATGGCTCCAGAACTGCTGAATGGCTGCAGCAACTTTGCATAGCAGAAATTTCTTAGAAATTGAAAAATTCCCTTGCTTATTGCAAATTTTTTTTCTTTCATGTTTTTCATAAAAAAGCTAGATGATGTAGCGAGCCTTCCTGTTTCTTCTCCTCCTAGGCCTTCGTGGCGTGTCCAACGAAACATTGAGAACATCTTTCCTATTTGAGTATCACTTGGCTTGGGATAGGTGGTCACAATTTTAGTATTTTATGTCCATCAATTTCACTCCATAGTTGTTTGTCACCAGTTAATTTAGCACGCTACCTTGTTTTATGGTACTCAATGACCCACTAGAGTTGTGACTATTTTAAATTATTGATGTGCTATACGAGGAACTCTAATTTTTACTCCTCTGTCTTTCCATCCTTCTTCCTCGCCACCATTTACCAATTCCTTAACACCAGCTCCACGGAGTAACTAGTAATGGGCTAACCTGGGCTATAGCCCAGGTCCAATTGAAAAAAAAAATTTAGTAATATTGTTTTTATAAGATGATATACTACTCTTCTTCTTATTAGTTTAGCCCAATCCATAATATTCTATAAATAAAAAGAGTTATAAAATTTATAAAGGCTAAGCCTTGAATATGAGCAAGTCCACGAACCATGGACATGCCCAATCACAAAATAAACCATAATAAAACATAACAGAGCTAACCTAGTAAATCAAACACATTATTAGTTTATGGAAAAATACATAAACTCTTCGTATGTAAGGCACTAAGATATATGTGAATGAATATTATGGATTATTATTGTTAATCCAGTGAAATATTGATTTTTATTTTTGTAAAAATATATATAAAAAAAAGGGTTGATAACTTGATGATTTCTTGTTAAGTTGGATAATTTACTATATAATAGATTAATAATTAGTAAGGGCAGAGCGCATAAGTCTTTCTTTCTAATGTAAATTTGTTGATAAGGAACATATATATTTTGCATTATTGGACGTGTTTGTTTTAATATTTGTATGAAGAAGACTTCAGTAGATTCTTGACTGTGAAAATAAGTAAATGTGTTAGAAGGTTGTAAATTATTGGATTTAATTAAATGACTAATGTATGAGAATTTCGTATTTAGAGCATGGATGACACACTGAGTAATCATAAATTTAATTATTTTTAACTCTCCTATTTTGCAATCCTGGCTCCGTCCCTGACCAGCTCTGCCCTTTAATGCCACCATATTTGCTATTGTGATTGGAGTTCGCGTATAAAAAGTTGGCCAACTAATTAAGATCAGAATGTCCCATTTTAAGATTTGTGGTTGGTTTGTTTCCATAGTTTTTATTTTTTTATTTTTTTAATTTGAAAAATTATTAACTTGTTCTTTTAAATTTTAAATTTTAAATTTTGAACATAAAAGATACAAGATTAATTACATTTACACTCTTAAATTTACCGTATTGATAACAAGGTGAAAGTTACTACTCCGTATTAACTTGGGACTGACAAAAAGGAAAGTTACTACTCCGTATTAACTTGGGACTGACAAAAAAGAAAGCATGACGACACCTTGAGTCAGAGACGGACTATATAGAATTATAGATAGATACATAAACAACCAGTTCTGGTTTTATTAGGGTTTTGATTTAGTTGCCTATATAAGTCACAAGGCAAGCGGTAGCAGAAGGTAAGATCGAAAGGCGTCCGCTTGAGAGATCAGAATTTGTTGACGGAATGGCTTCCCACTTTAAAAGGTGCCGCTGGAATAATGCGCAGAGATCGTCGTCGGCGGACCAAATCTCTGTCGCCGTCGCTGCTTCTGAAATCATCGGCTGCAACGCCGACCTGGTTGTGGAGATCCTTCGGCGTCTGCCGCCGAAATCCGTCCTTCGATTCAAGTCAGTTTCTAAAGCATGGCTCTCTCTCATCTCCAGTGGTCGCTTCTGTCTCCTCCACTGGCAACAGCAGCATCCACAATCTCATGATCCCAAAATCGCCGGCCTTTTCTTAACCGGTAAATACGGATCTGAATTCATCAAATACATTCCTCTCATTCACTCTGAATTGAAGAATGGATGTAATAGTTCTACTATTACTATTAATGCCGAAGATGTAAACCAGTCACTCAGTGCTCACTTTCCTGACATTACTAGTACTGTCATAGAAGACTCTCGTAATGGTTTTGTACTCCTCTACTTAGTTCAAAAGCATCAGAATAGGATGTCGTACCATGTCTACAATCCCACTACAAAGAAATTACGCACTCTTCCCGGGCTCTTTTATCTTTCTGACTCTTTATATATGATTTTTGATCCTTTGAAATCACCTCACTACAAAGTTGTTTTACTTAAAACTATACTAAATTGTGGTGCCTACTCGTGTTATGTACATATTTATTCCTCACAAACCCATGCCTGGCGGGCGGCACAACCCAATATTGGTGATCATCATCCTTTTAGGGCACCATTAAGTGTGCATTTCGGTGATGGAGTCTATTGCAATGGTTCCATCCATTGGATTTCCTTCTCCCAACTATCACAACAACCTTCCCTATACTTTGATGTTGATCAAGAAAGATTCTGCCCAATGCCATCTGCACCATTTCAGCCTGTTACTGTTCAACGCTGGTATTTTGGAGAGTCCAGAGGTCATTTGCATCTTATTGAATATTGTGATGGTACTGGATTTAATGCCAACATCTTTGAGATGGAAAGCGACTACTCCAAGTGGTCATTGAAGTACCGGGTTAGGCTTAACTCCATGATGAATGATCTAATTGCATCAAAACCGGAGATGGTTGTCCACCCTGAGACACTCACTGTGCTTGGTTTAATTCATGGAGAAGATGACGGGGATGTGTTTTTGGTGATATTTGTAGACCCAACTATGATCATCTCCTACAACATTAAGGATAACACCTTTAAGAAGCTAGATGATGTAGCGAGCCTTCCTGTTTCTTCTCCTCCTAGGCCTTCGTGGCGTGTCCAACGAAACATTGAGAACATCTTTCCTATTTGAGAATCACATGGTTTGGGATGGTTGGTCACTGTTTCAGTATTTTATGTCCATCAATTTCACTCTATGGTTGTTTGTCACCGGTTAATTTAGTACGCTACCTTGTTTTGTGGTACTCAATGACCACTTGTGTTATGACTATTTCAATTTATTGTAGTTTCATTTTCTATCATATTATATATGAAATTGATTGATTTATCGAGTTTGCAGTTCTTTGCTTAGAAAAATCTTGTTGCTTTTATACTATGCTCTTGGTATCATACTGAAATTAAGTCTGCTTTTCAGTATGTTACTTCCTCCTAACAACACCGAGTGTGTTATATTCTAATTATTAGAAGACAAGAAATGCCGCAAATATTATACTGCATTGTGAATTGATAGAGTGCAAATTTATAAGATATATAAATCGTATTGGAAAGATGAATTCAAATGTATAAGATATATAAAAATGTGATTAACAACATTTGCTGCCATGTAAAGCTCTTCCAATTTTTATGCCTAAGTTGCACTAGTTGTCACTGTTTATTTGTGTAGTCAATATCCCCTCTTCAAATGATAAGTTTGTTATATATTTTACTCCTGTCTGTCCTTGTACACTATAAGAATTTTATGCAACTGGCGGTTTTTCACCAGAAGTTCTAGAAGTGCGAGAATTTATGTTATTTTATAGTTTTGTCCGGCTGTTTAGTGTGCCGGACTAAAAAAGCGGCATGTTTGGAAAATCAAATATTACTTCACAGTTCTTGCACAGAACTCTGCAGAATCCTCTATACTCTCTTGGCAGGGGAAGATCTAGGGTGCTCTCGGCAGAAGTTTACCGTCTTTCTCATGTCGCTGCTCTTGCCTCTTCGATCGTGGTATGTTTGGGCAATCAAATCATTTCTTTGCTCGTTAACAACTGATCAGATCAGGTTCTTTGCTCATTCACAACTGATCGAATCAGTTCTTGGATCAACTACAACTTCGATATTCAATCGCATGCATCAAGTATTGTTTGGCTCAATCAGGTTTTTCTACTCACTATCTCTCTTTCTATATGTATACACGCACATTCATATTATCTCCATGAGTTCTGTGAATTAACTAAACTTATTTCAGTTTTAGCTTCAACAAATTCATCTCCATTTGATTCTATCATTTCAGTCTTTCAAAAATTTGCAACTTTACTTCTGAACCATTTAGAAATCTGTGAATCTTTAAGAAATTTGTGAAATCGTTCAGAAATTTGTAAAATGATTGAGAAATCATGAATAATACAGTATGTGTAAACAGTTACCAATTGTCGTTGCTTGCTAATTGTGTCAATTAATTCTCTCTCCACCTTACTTTCCCTGTCTTAACTGTGTGTTGTTTCATTCTGTTGTTCAGATCTCAATTAACTGAAGTTATTATTTATTATTATTTTTTAAGAAGTCTCTGGTTGATTTAGGTATGAATTTTGTAGAGTTTCTATCTATTTCTCTTTCAACCATTTTTATATTTGATGTGCACTTTCTGACTATATCTTATGAATTTTGATCTTCCATCCTATGCTATCACTTTTTTTTTTTTTCCTTTGTTTTTATCTTGATTGAAGTCATTAATGGCTGAAACAGTGAGTGATATGTCTTTTTTTCCCCCTCCTGATCCTGCATATATTAAGGAGCCACAAAGGCAAACGGGGGTGAGGAAGACATCTCCGTTACGAAATACTTAAAGAACACCTGCTTCCAGAAACTGGCAAGCAGGGAGATTACCAAGAAATAATCATTGAAAAGGAAAAACATATAGCGACACAGAAAGAAGCAAAAATCCCTCCTTAATAACTTTACATTAACAGATTTAGTCACAGTACTCCAGTCGTTAAAAACTAAAAAATCTCACCAGCTCTTGCAGCTTATTATCCAAAGTATCTGCCACATTCCAAATAATTTGACGAGCAGTTTGCTGAGGATTAACAAAGACATTGTCATGAGGTTTCAGGTTCCTATACCACCACGAATACCAGATTGTAGAAGTGAAAGTTAACTTTAAAAGCTTGCTGCAGTTAGTTCTGGTCCTGGACTGAGAAACGAACCATTCCACCAACTGATCAAAGTTATTCACCCTTCTCCAATCCCAATTGAACAGATCAACCAACCACCTCTGTATAACTTGAGCAAAGCTACAATTAAAAAACAGATGATCTCTTGAATCAGCGTTTAACATGCAATTATGGCATATTGGAATAACACATATACCTCTTTGTTGCAAATCGGTCAAAGTAGGCAGTTTGTCTCGGATGCCAAACAAGAGGTCACACTTGCCGGTCTTCCACCATTCCAAACAGCTTGGACCAGTACCTCTTAGGGGTTTCATTTCTATGGTATTTTCAGAAAGACTTAAATTGATAGGAACATGAGTAATCTGATTCCAAAGGAATATTTTCATCTAATGGAATCAGAGCTTTGATTGATAGGAACATGAGTAATCTGATTCCAAATTTCAGTAACCTCGTTCACCATGAATTCTGGTGTAGCTGATCTTAGCTTCCTTAGTAACATCAAAAAAATTGATGATTTTGTGACCATAAGTCTGAACTAAGGAAGCACCATTCCACCATGGGTCCAAGAAAAACTTTAGAGATTGCCCATCCCCAATCTGAAATTGGACGTTTGTTGACATAAATTCCCTTACCCCTAACAGATTCTTGCAGAAGGTGGAGTTATTATACACCAATGAACAAAACCAAATAGAATCATGCTTAAGGTAAAGATTCTTCAACCATGGAATCCGCATAATATCCTTTCTTAGTCCCAAAGTAAACTGTATTTGGTAGCCTTGTCTATTTCTGCAACTCTTCTTAAACCAAACCCTCTTCAGATTTTGGACAAGCAAGCTTACTCCAGTCTAGAAGATGAAGTCTCTTAGAATTTGTTTTGCCATCCCAAATAAAGTTTTTAATTTTTTAATTTTTATCATTTTCTAAATCGCAACAACTGGTAATTTGAAGGCACCACACCAATAATGGATAATAGAGTAGATCACAGATCTTATCGACTCAACCCTACCAGCAGGTGATAGATTAAGAGCGCTCCACCCATTGAGTTTTGCATCAATCGTGTCGGTCAGAGCATTACAATCCTTATTTTTCAAGCCTTTATCAATCAAAGGAAGCCCCAAATATTGAAGAGACAAGGAACCACAGATCATATTTGAGATTATGCAGAGAATTTTTTCCTTCTAAATGCTCTAGAGAAGACCTTGTTTTTTTCAAAACTCACTTCCAGACCTGAGAGGGTGAGAGGTTTTTAAAATTATTAAGATATTCAAGATGTATTTAGCTGACCTCACACTTGCTTTAGCAATCAGGAGTGCCATTTATTAACACAGGAAACCATGAGTTAGAGATGTATTCTGTTACCATTCATTCCATTTATCCCCAAATCCAAAAGCTTTTAGAACATGAAACAAGAAGTCCCAAGAAACAAGTCATATGCCTTTTTGACGTCTATTTTAAAGGCCATTGACTGATGAAACTTTCTAGTATGAAACCATCTTAGAATTTCATTCATCATAATGACATTATCATGGATTTTCCCACCTTTCACAAAAGCTGATTGCTCACAACCTACAATTCTCCCCAGCACTGAACTCAACCTTGTAGCCATTAGCTTAGTAGCAATCTTGTAAACAGTTAGAGCACAATGAGTTTGGTCTGTTAGCAGCTTTAACACAATTGCTTGTTTTGGAAATGAGGCAGATAAAAGAAGAGTTGCCCTTTGACAGTTTAGTATTTGAGAAGGAAAATTCAACAGCATTTGCACATCATGTCCCACAATTCTCTAAACTTGTTGAAAGAATCTTGGTGGAAAACCCATCTGGGCCTGGTCTCTTGTGAGGGCCTAATCTGTTGACAACTGATTTAATTTCATTAGCAGTGACTTGAGTCTCCAAATATTGAGCTACTTTTACAGAAAGTTTAACATTGGGCTCCATAGGCACACTGGCGGATTAAAGAAACTTTAATTTCATTAAGAGTAATTTTTTTTTTTTTAACTATACCTAATTTTAGCGGCCCCCCCCCCCCCCAAAAAAAAAAAAAAAAAAAGAAAAAATTATTACTACTATAAGCCCACCCAAAGAAATATTTGCCCACTCCATTAACAATTTATGGATTCTCCCTTGCATAGGCATAAAAGAGATCTTCTAATTATGATTACAACTAAACATCTTCTAATAATGATTCCCAAAGTCCTGCTCAATCTGATGTATATCAGTTGACAATGTTCCATATTCCTTGTGAATAGCAGAAATGGCATTAAAAGCTCTATGTTGTGCTATTTTTTTGATAGGTAAACATGTCTTTCAGTCTCCTGAAGGCAATGAGCTCTAGACTTTTGGGTTGTTAGAATTTCCTCATTCTTAAAAGCTTTCTCAAGATCAAATTGGGCCAGATTCTCCACTTCTATAGACCTGGATTGCGAGGATCTTCGAGCATTTTCATTTGAATTTCACACAATTTCTTGCTGGACTCAGAAAGTTGGTCTTTATCATGTCTGAGATCCCTCTTGTTCCATTCCCTTACTTTATACTTGACATTATACAGCTTTTTAGTGAGTATATATATAGAATTACTCACAATTTCTTTTCCCCTACTTGCTTTATCACCTTAGTAATACCTTTTTGATGACCGCACACCTTGAGGAATTAAAAAGGTATTGGTTTGGAAGCTATCTTATCAGATGTATAATGATGTGAAATATTTGATGCTGTCAGGAAATATTTTGTGTTTGGATATGCTGTCAACTACTTTTTATTGATCATACTTCCGTCCAATTTGGCATAGATTCTGCTTCCCTTTTCCTGTCTATTGCACCGTGTCCATTGACCATTAACTGTAGGAAGATCAATCAATTCCTCATCATTAACCCCTCATTAAACTCCATCAGCACCTTCTAAGGGACACAAACACCCCTTTCTTTTCTACTTGATACCTGATCACATTCCAATCACCAATGGAAACCCATGGGCTATCAACAAGTGATTTACATTGAATTAAAGCCACTCCATAAGTTTCTCCTCTGTGACAGAATTTGCTGCATAAACAGGAGACCGGGAAAAACATTTGTTATCAGAGAACTGAGTTGATTCGAGAAGGATCCACTGGTCTCCTTCATGCATAACCTGAACACTAAAATAACTGGATTCCATCCCACCACAATTCTGCCAAGAGGGTGAGAA